AAGCAGAGGACACATAGGACCCCTCCGTCAAGGGCCCCCAGTTTGCTAATGATCAGAGGTCAGGTGCTTATGGAAGTGTCACCGAATGTGTCCAGCTTGCTTTCAAGATCCAGTGCACTCATCTGTTTCCCGTACACGATGAGATTAGGTCAGGGCCACCACGGATAACAGCCCTTTCTTAAACTCACTTGGTACCCTACAGCATGGTCTATCATGGGGTAGATACTCACAGGTCTTTCCTGTACTCAGCAGGTGGGAATTACACAAGAATAGTGGTCATTAGGGGTCCACCCTCTGGCCTCTAACGACTCATGTCCTTCCCAAGTGCCAAATCATTCACGACATCTCAAGGTTCCCAAGAGTCCTATCTTGTTAAACTTAAAATTCAAAGTCTCATCTGTTGGAGGAGTCATCAAGAGAATATAATCACAGGTTGATCCTGAAGCCAGACCTGGGCAATTGCAGGCTCCTCACCCACCTCCTTTGTCCTTAGAATGTAGTTCTGCCCATAGTTGCCTCCGTGGATGCTGCGCCAAGGACGCAGCCCTGAGAGGAGGGTGTTGTTGAGACCATCCGGGTGGTTTCCATGCCTGAACTTTTAAGATTCTTGGGGGGCTGGGGGGCAGGTGTAGAAATCTACAGGTCTTGTGGTGCCCAAGACAAGCCTTGTAAGTTCCCTTGTTTATTAAACCAGCCACCTACTAATCAGGAGTGACTGTCTCTTCAGCCTCTCCCTGTCCTCTGCAGGGGGGCCAGGTTTTGAACCAACATCACCATCTAAATCTAAATATCATTACCCCATTAGCTCAGAGTCCAAAAATCTCTTCATCTAAATCCTCTAAGTCAAGTGGGGATGAGATTCCTAGCTGTAATCCATTAAATACAGCTCTTGAGCACAATTCTTTCCCATCTGTGGGCCTGTGAAACTAAATTAACTACCTTGTCCCAACATTCCCAACATACGGTGGTGGGACAGGCATAGGAAAACATTACAGACAGTCCCATTGGAAAGGGGGCTGTGCGGGGGGAGATGGAAAGTGAAAAGAAGTTATGGTCCATAAGGTTTATACCCTACAGGGCAAACTCCACTAGGTTTCATCCTGGGGAAAAGATTCTCTGTCACTCTTGGCTCTGCCCTGTAGACTCTTGGTCAACTTTCTTTTCTTTTTCTTTATTCTTAATACTTGATCTTTCTATAGTCTCTGAACTGCTTTGTGTTTCTTTTCTTCTTCCTTACCTTTCTTGCTCTTTAAAGTTTCCTTAAACTTAATAGGAAGTCTTAAAAATCCATATAAAAAACATTTGTAATACTTCAGAGATTTCCATGAATGAAGTTGTAAGCTTTTCTGAATGGTTCACTTAATTCTAAGTTAGTTGATAATTATTATGAATTATAGCTGAAATCACAATTACTATATTTTAAATAACTTAAAAATATTATTCTAAATTCACTTGAAATAATGGAGACACTGTAAAAATTATGAAGCAAATAATCATTGTGGACAGTTATTGTGTCCCTTTTAACAGAAAGTAGCATACGTTTTGCACCTGAATAGTCCTATCATCTTGCTTCTTGCTAGGAGAAATCAGAGGGTCCAACTTTCATTTTGTACTTTCTCTGTCCCTGTCAGTACAAATGGCAGTGTTTCTGCTGACATAGACTTCTCAAGAACCTTGTGGTCCTTGTTGTAGATTTCACTAGGTTTCACTGCCTTAGAAAAAGCCACATCCACAGACATTGTTGAGATAATTTTCTAACTTGACCTCCTGTTGAGATGTTATGTATATATCACCCCAATAAAAAGCTGGAAAAAAGTTATATGACTCCCAAATATATCCAGATAGATAGAGGAAAAGATTGGATATTTTCTTGTAGTTGATTTCTAGTCTCATAGTGTTGTGGTCAGAAAAGATGCTTGATATGATTTCTATTTTCTTAAATTTACAGAGGCTTGCTTTGTGGCCCAGCATGTGATCTATCCTGGAGAGTGTTCCATGTGCCCTTGAAAAGAATGTGTATTGCGCTGCTTTCAGATGGAATGCTCTATATAAATCAATCAAGTTCATCTGTTCTAACATGTTATCTGAGACTTGTTTTTCCATATCGATTTTCTGTCTGGATGATCTGTTCATTGATGTAGGTAGGTTGCTGAAGTCCCCTGCTATTATTGTGTTACTGTCGATTTCTTGTTTTATGTCTGTTAACATTTGTTTTACACATTGAGGTGCTCCTATGTTATATCTTCTTCTTGGATTGATCCCTTGATCATTATGTAGTATCCTTCTTTGTCTCTTGTTAACAGTCTCTATTTTAAAGTCTATTTTGTCTGATAAGAGTATCACTACTACAGCCTTCTTTTGATTTCCATTTGCATTGAATACCTTTTTCCATCCCCTCACTGTAAGTCTGTATGTGTCTGTATGTGTCTCTAGGTCCAAAGTGAGTCTATTGTAGGCAGCATATGTATGGGTCTTGTTTTTGTATCCATTCAGCCTCTCTGTGTCTTTGGTTGGAGCATATAGTCCATTTTCATTTAAGATAATTATTGAGACATATGTTCTTATTGCTATTTTGGTAATTGTTCTGGATTTGTTTTTGTAGATCTCCCCCCCTTCTTCTTCTTTTGTTCTCTTGTGATTTGATGACTATCTTTAGTGTTATGTTTAGATTCCTTTTTCTTTTTCGTGTGTGTATCTATTATAGATTTTTTGTTTGCAGTTACTGTAAGCTTTTTGTATAGCAATATAGGTATATATATATATATACATATATATATATATATATATGATTGTTTCAAGTTGCTGATCTCTTAGTTTCAAATGCATTTTAAATACTCTGCATTTGTACTCTCCTCCTCTCACAATTACTGTTTTTGATGCTATATTTTACATCTAATTGCTTTGTGTATCCCTTAGCTGCTTATTGTGGATACAGATGATTTTCACTATTCTCTTTTAACCTCCCTACTAGTTTGTGTGTGGATGACTTCCTATCTTTACTGTATGTTTGCCTTTACTGCTGAGCTTCTTCATTTCATAATTTTCTTGTTTCTAGTTGTGGCCTTTTCTGCCTAGAGAAGTTTCTTTAACATTTGTTGTAAAGCTGGTTTAGTAGTGTTGAGTCCTTTTAGTTTCTGCTTGTCTGTAAAGCTTTTGATTTCTCCATTAAATATGAATGAGAACCTACTGGGTAAATTCTTGGTTTTAGGTTTTTCCCTTTCATGACTTTAAATATATCGGGCCACTCCTTTCTGGTCTGCAGTTTCTGCTGAAAAATCAGCTGATAACCTTATGGGCTTATTATCGATTTATGTATGCTATTTTTTGTATGTTATTTTTTGCTTTCTCTTGCTTTTAATATCCTCTCTTTATCTTTAATTTTTTGTCATTTTGATTACTGTGTGTCCTGGTGTGGTCCTCTTTGGGTTCATCCTGTAGGGGCCTCTGCACTTCCTGGACTTGAATGACTGTTTTCTTTCCCAGGTTAGGGAAGTTTTTAGCTTTTATGTCTTCAAATATTTTCTCAGGCCCTTTATCTCTCTCTCTCCTCTTCCTGGGACCACTTTAATGTGAACATTAGTGCACTTGACATGGTCCTGGAGGTCTCTTAAACTGTCCTCATTTCTTTTCAGTCTTTTTGTCTGTCCAGTGGCAGTGATTTCCATTACTCTATTTTCCAGCTCACTGATCCGCTCTTCTGTATCATTTAGTCTACTGTTGATTCCTTTTGTGGATTTCTTCATTTCAGTTATTCATTGACTTCTTGCTCTGTGCACCCATTCTCCTCTCGAGTTCTTTGATCATCCTTATGATCATTACTCTGAACTCTTCCTTGGGTAGGTTCCCTATCACCACTTCACTTAGTTCTTCCGGGATTTTACCTTGTTCCTTTTTCTAGAATATATGCCTCTGCCACCTTATCTTGTTT